TGCCCTATCACCTTCATTAATACCATATCCATGCTGACCAGGTTCAAGACCAGCCAACCACTGAACCACTCAAGTAGATCTCTTTCTACAAAATCATAACAAGAAAATTTTTATTTTATTATTTTATACATACACTGTAATCTCTAAAATTAGCAATCTAATGCAAAAGTGTGTCACTATTTACAGTAATATTAGAACAACACACATATTATTTTACAGATGAAAATTGAAAAATATACTATACTGTATGCACATATATGTAAAAATCTATCCATACAAACAGGCATCATACTTCAGCAAAAATGTATTAAACAATTCGTTTAACTCAAAACATGTACATATGTATCACAGTGACACAGTACATATACACACACTATAGGGTCAAACTAGAGGCATTGTAAACACAAGACGCCATAATTTTGTACAGTGTATTTATATTAAAAGTACAAGAATAAAAACAACAAAGCGGAAATTTAACTATAAAATAACACGATAACTGTAATGCATTGTAGTATACCAACCTTAAATACTGCGCTTGTTTTCACGTTGATGATACACAGAGATTTAACGCCATCCAACTTAGAAAGAAGAGCCTCGCTATTGGGAATATAAATTAAACACAATTCCTTTTCTCAGACGGATTATTTGTAAAGCTAAAATGACAACACGTCCCATGCAATTTAAAAAAAGGTAAACTTGATATAGTAAAACACAAGTCATAATGATGATCGCAACAATACAGCAATAACATGCTGTTTTCACAAAATATCGCAGCCTGACATTCCTGTCGTTCGAAAGCTTCCATATTGGTTTTGTAGTCAGAGATGTTCACTCCTCGACAGTCAACAGTCAATGAAAGCCACGCGTGGAATTAGGCGCTCAATACCCATGATGCTTTGCGGTCTGCTGTCCAACCTCCTCTGAGCTCCAACCACAAGTTCTTTTTTATATACAGTATATAGTACAAGTGATGCCATTATATAAAATATGAACAGATTGAAAGATTTATGTAGGATGGAAATTTCAAGCACAAATTTCAAGAAAAATCCCAAGCGCAAATTGAGATTTACAGCGTCATATTCCCAAAAATCTCTATATTTAGCCACAGGTTCGATTCCTGTCAGTTGACAGCATTTTCGCAGCTGCTCCTGTAGTTAAGTCTGTAGTTAAGTCTAAAATTGTATATATTGAATCTTTCGTTATAAATTTCCATCTACTGCATGCAGGATCGCCGAGAGAGAGGCAGAGTGGAACTTTATCTCGGGCGGGGCTCGCAAAACAAGGGACCCTTAAAATTTATTGATGCAAGATTGATGAACTCAGAATATAAATCCCAGTACCCAGATGAATAATACATCTAAAACTCTCAAAAAATTAAGAAAATTGTCGGAAAAAAATAAACGATTTTATGTCCGCAAAATTTTTTCCGGCACCAAATTTCCGGCGCCAATTTTCCGGCGCCATATGTCGTGAAAATTTTTTGATCAAGATTATACGTATAGTGTAATTTACAGCATGAGTTCCACATTTGAATTTTACTATACGAGTAAATTGTTAAACGCGTCCGAATTTATCAACATGATAAATGCCAAATTCGCGGCACCTAACCCTTAACCTTAATTTTGTGTTACACAGCTTCGATCATGTTATATATACCCATAATCAGTAACCTTGCCCGCTCATTCAAGTGCTACAGTATGTAGATCTATACTGAAAAAAAATCAATCAAAAAATTTAAAAAAAAAAAATACAAAAGTCAAAAAATCAAAAAATCAAAAAATCAAAAAATCAAAAAATCAAAAAATACAAAAATCAAAAAATCAAAAAATACAAAAATCAAAAAATCAAAAAATACAAAAATCAAAAAATCAAAAAATCAAAAAATCAAAAAATACAAAAATCAAAAAATCAAAAAATACAAAAATCAAAAAATCAAAAAATACAAAAATCAAAAAATCGAAATATACAAAAATCAAAAAATCAAAAAATACAAAAATCAAAAAATCAAAAAATCAAAAAATACAAAAATCAAAAAATCAAAAAATACAAAAACTGTTTTTTTGCTGTCGCGTCTGGGCCGCCGTAGTACGGTGTACACAGAACTGTATCAAAGCTTGTCAAAAGTGCTTTATTTAATAAACACTGCTATAACAGTGAAACTATTGAAATCTAAAGTGACACAGTATTTAACTATTTATATTCAACACATGCGAAAAGCTAAAAATAGACACAACGTCACACTGGGAAAAGTCAAAGGTCAATGAGACTTGTTATTGTGAAACATGTCACAATTAAGTTAAAATGCGGAAGCGGATGGAGCGGATCCACGGAACGGATATGCGGATAAAATACGGAACGGATGAGGATAAAATGCGTCTTTTAATGATGTAACGACGTAGTGCTTATTATTCATAACATATCTTATACAGCTATTTCAATTATAGTTTATTAGATAAATTTAGCATAGCAGTAGCCTCGTGGGGATGCTTTCAGCGACAGCTGCAAATGCAAATGAAAATTTAGAATATGCAAAATTTGGTTGTTGGTGACACAATAAATAGATGAATTACATCAGTTTCACAAGGCACGTTTCTGATGTGTTAGGCTTGTTTCAAACGTCACGCTACTCGTGTGCCAAGCGTATTAAAAGCAATAAATAGTGAGATGAAATGCCTTTGGTAACTGTTTATTTCGTAGTGTAAGCCATCAAGCTTTTCTAGGTTGTCGGCGACCCTAGTTCTTGCAGCGTCTTTTTAAATTTGAAACTTCACACTATCCTTGGATCCCTAGTTTGTTTTTTATGTTATAGGTTCAATTTATAGGTTAATGTTAATGTTAGGGTTTTTTAGCATATAACCATATAGGGTTATCATTTATTTTTGTTTAGGTTTTTCAATTAAAATCCCTTATTTTTTTTAGATTAGTTTGTCAGTATGTCTTCGTTACTAGCATATGCACTTCTATATTTTGGAACTAAATTGTAGACTTCATATTGTGGCAGCAACAAGTGATGGAATGTCAGCAAACCGAAAATTCTTCCGACTGCACAAGCATATCTCTGGTGAGAATCCAGACGTGATGCTGATAAACAAGACTATGAACCTGTTTGCGCCACAGAGATATATTTGGTTCTTTACAGATGTACCACACTTGATCAAAACGACTAGAGGTATGAAATATCATCTTGAACATAAAGAGTAATTTATGGTCCAATCTGCAAATGTGTCTTGCTAACCCAACACCTGGGGGGAGGGTGTGTGACAACCCCCAGTCTCTATCTTGTCGGGTATATCCATACAATTTTGTCGGGTATTTGAGTGGCTCGGATTGAAAAGTAATAGTTGTAGAAAACAATTTGATAAATTTACAAAAATATTACTGAAAAATTTTATTGCGAAAGTTAGTGAAAAATTATTTTTGGAATTTTTTTACCTCCCCCCCACTCGCCAACAATGTTTACCCTCCCCCCCCCCCAATTTAGGGAAAAGGAATATTAACCGTTTAAGTGGCAATGCACCTAGATGCACGCTACTTTATTATGTTACACTAATGTCATATTATTTTACTCTTAAGTCGTTACCAGATTACTCGTCAGGGGGAGAGTGCTGCCACTCAATGGGTTAATTAGCGACTGAAATGTTTGTCCGTTGGGAACAACTTCGGCCACACCCTTTTGTACAAGCAAAACAAGCTCACATAACCCCCAGCCGTAATACTGATATTTCGTCCCTGCACTCGATACTTACCAAGAGTTGCTGTAATGGGTTAAAAAGAGTTCATCATTCTTATAAATATCATTTTTGCATATGCTATTTGTAGATGTACAATAGATGTGTACTTGTTGGAAATCATGCTCCAGTGGCATGAAATAAACAGTATCCAGACATTGACATATATTAAATTTTGAGAAATGGGTTATTTATTCAAGAATCAGTAGCTACATGTACAAAATTTCTTAATGGATACTGTTAAAAAAATACATTTTATGTCCTGGACTCCTGGTCAATTGTATCTAATGCTAAATTCATATTTTGAACTTCACAATGAATTTGAAAATCTGCCAATAAAATCTGAAAATGCTGTGATTTATTACAAACAAGTGTACAAGAACAATACTAATGAGATACAGTTACCAAGGATAATCACTGTCAGATTATGTAATTTATTATCTAATGTGTTTACTTATCTTAACTTCTTAAGGTAATCTCCACAGCTCCGGTTGAGGTGGAACTAGGCTCCTTTTAAAGAATGGGAAGAATTTGCTATGGGAGCACATTTCTAGATGCTATTTTGCTGATCTAGATTTGGGCCTCCATCAACTGCGAAAGTTAACCATCGAGCATATTCATTTAACATCTTATGCTAAAATGAGGGTTAACTTGGCAGTGCAGATTCTTTCCAAATCTATGGCTGAAGCACTCCGAAGAAGTATGCCATTGGATGAAGTCTCAGAAACAGCTAATTTCTGCCAGCTGATGAATGACTTCTTCGATCGTTGCAATGTTCGATCCATTCATGAGCACCAAAGAAAGAATAACACACTCTTGGCACCCTATGAGAAATGTGATGATTCACGCTTTGTGTGGTTAACAAACACATTTCTCAAGTACTTCCTTGACTGGAATTTCTCAAGTACTTCCTTGACTGGAAAGAAGAGATTAATTCTAAAGCAGAAGAGTTCAACAAAGACCAATTGGGACGAATGTTTATTTCACTGCAAACATTTGAAGGGTTACAAATATCTGTGCATAGTCTTATTGAATGTACAAAGTTCCTGTTACAGAATGGAGTTAACTACGTCCTCACTGAAAGGTTCATGCAAGACTGCTTTGAGGAAGACTTTGGTCATCAAAGACAATGTGGGAGAAGATCAGATAACCCCGATGCAGTTCAGTTTGGGTACAACGATCGGATTCTTCAGGTGCAAAGAAATGCTGGTCTTGTATCCAGAGGGAATAGTCACGGTGGGCTACCATTAGGGATGCGCCTTTACTGAAAAAGAAAAAATAAGGGACTTCTAATATGGGGAATCATAATGATTTCACATCTTTGACACCTGACACTTTCTATTACAATTATATCAAGCAGTGTTCAATTTAGTCCCATAGGTTTTAGCAGTCAGTATAAAATTTAAAACAGGACAACTATTATATAATTCAAATTTCAGCTTCATTACAACATTTTGGTTAATAGGGCTTATGTAGGTTCACGTCATGCCATTGTTTTCACCACTGGGCATCACTTTGGTATTAATAGAACAAGTTGCACCAAAATGAGGCTTGGTGGCAAGGTCAGTCAAAACATCAATGGTGTAATGTTAACCTGCATAATGTCATGATGTATAACTCTACTCATGGCTTTCACATTTAGTGATGCATCAATCGGCAATATGGAAATTCACCGATATTCTGATTAACAAATATTGAAGGACTGGTATTTCGCCGATATCGATATTCTATGTCATTTCCCAAAACTCAAAGATGACATCACGACAGCTCTACTTTAATACTTTTGAATTTAATTCAATTCATTTGTTTCTAAATACTGAAAATATCAAATGAAATGCTGCAAATGCATGCAACAAACTAGTATATTGTATAGTGTTTCCACCTTTACATTTTGATTTTCAATTCTTTCAAGTCAAAACTTTGATTTTTCGTAATTTTTAGGTGTAAAGAATTTGTTTAACTAGTTTCCTTATATATCAGTAATATCAACAACAAAATTACCGATACTGACATTTCTATTTTAGTACCGATATCCATATCGGTGTGTCACTATCACATTATGCTTAAATTTATGGTTTACAGATCTGCTGACCGTAAATATTCAGAAAGTGAAAAATAAAAAAAAGTTGGATGTCAAACAATTTTAGTTAAATTAATTTGGGGTTCTGACATGAAGTACATGCCAAGAATCTTTGACTCTGAGTGCTACTGGCTCATGTTATTGTTGTCGGACAATCTTGAAAAACAATGTTTTGTTTTTAATTTTTTCCGACCAACCGACCTGTTTTTTTTTTCAAGTAAAATCCATAAACCAATAAATAAAAAAGGCTCTGTTGTTTTGTATTGTATATATTCTAATATTGTATGAGATTATAATGCACATCCTAGATGCACATCTTTAAAAATAGCAACTGTAAAAGAAATAAAGCAATTCCATTGTGGGGGTACTTTACGTGCCATATACAATATTTGACATATAATAAATTAAAAGATAAGGGTCACGTCCATATTCATGTTGCCACAAATAATGTCGAAAATATTCATATTGCCACAAATATCGATCGACGTTACTGGAGTGGGTGGGTGGGTGAAAAAATAATGTCGATTCGACATTATTTGTGGCAACATGAATATGGACGTGGCCCCTAATATAACAACTGATAAAATACTCACTAGTTCAGCTAATATGCAGCTACTGGCTTTTATCTACAGCTGACTCTGCCTGTTTCTTTAATGTTTTTCGCAGGGCCTTTTTATGGAACTTCACCTTCTCTTTAATGGTCATTTTCGTTACAACATTCTTCGTGTAAGAGAATGATCGCACCCGAATGTACAACATAATGTTCTCTAAGCATACATCAGTAACAGATGTCTTGCTTTTAGCCAAACTTACATCAGAGAGGATAGCATCCCATGCTTTAACTTTGGGCTTTTGCAAAATATCTGCTCTGACCTGCTGTAGCGGAATTTCACGTAACAAATCAGCACTGTGTTGCCTGAACACCTTTTCACATTCAGCAGTTATTGCCAACAGATTCTCACAAGGATTCCATAGCTTTCCTCGAGAAAGAGAGTCTATGTATTCATTGTCTTGCAGTGACTTCATGCTCAGCAGCAAGGACTGAAGTTCCAATTGCTCTGGAGTTTCTTTCCTGGCAGAAACTTCACTTTTTCGATACATCTTCGAAATAACGTACCCAGCTACATAGGACAATGGGTCAAATTCCGATTTCTCTATTGCCTTTATATCAGGAATCTTTTCTTTAACATTTCCACGCTTGTAGAAGCCAACGAGTAAACCAGGAATTTGGATTATGATGAGATTATATGCAGGGGCAGTCATATTCTTCGACTCTGTTTTAAACATCCTCCCACTTTCAGGCATAAGCTTGTAAAAGTTTTTTAGGAGTTTATCTCTATCCAACTTTTCGCAATATTGGTCGTGCAAAGTTGCCAAATGCCTCACAAGATCTTTAGATGCCTTCAGTTCAGGTCAGCTTCACCAAACAATTTCGTCATTGCGTCCCCACACAATTTCGATTTTACGACGGACTGTGTTGCTTTGTCTACGATTTCACCAGCGACCTCCGAAGTCAAGGGCGAAACCGACTTTGTAACGGCCGTTTTCTCGCCATGCTTTGCCCTTGTATGTAAAGTAAGACCACCTTTCGACTTACAAATTTTCGAACAAAGCCCACACGAAAACTTTTAGTGAGATTGCAATCATCGACTCCCTCGTTAACACACTCTTCCAAGTCGATATTCAGGTCGCTTTCTTCTATCAATGAACTCACAACCGCTTCCATAACATCTCATTCATTGCTTGAGCTTTCTTCTTCACAATACATCGTCAAAATTCAAAAGATTCGACTCGAAAACACTTCGAAAAACGCAGAATCGTAACCTGATACTATATTATTTTAATATTTGAATGCTGTTCTTAGGGTTTGTAATCCAAGTGAGTATATATATACATTTTAAGACCTGACCAGGAACGACTGCGAAAAATGCAGCACAAGGTCCTCTGGTAGGAATTGAACCTACGGCGCTGCGATTCCGATCAGGTCTTACAATGTATATATATACTCACTTGGATTACAAACCCTAAGAACAGCATTCAAATATTAATACCACCAAGTGAAGTGCAAGAAACCAGATCATTGAAGTCCACCTTATCACAACCCGCACACCCGATCACCTATATATACATGAACTTACGGTTACAGCTCAACAGCTGGCCTCTGTAGCTCAATTGGTTAGAGCCCTGCACCGGAATCGCAGGGCCGTAGGTTCAATTCCTACCAGAGGACCTTGTGCTGCACTTTCGTAGTCGTTCCTGGTCAGGTCTTACTTAAAATGTATATATATATATATATATATATATATATATATATATATATGTTGATCATCACGATATGATCAACATATATACGGCTGAAGAAGACATGTTACTGTCGAAATGGTATACAAATTCGGCATGGCTTTGGTGAGTGGCCATGTGGGTGTGCAGGAATGGTTGTGACTGGTTGGGTTCGAATATACCATCGGGCTGATAGCTCAGTTGGTAGAGCGATGGGCTTGTAACCCAGAGGTCGCCGGTTCGAATCCGACTCAGTCTCAGCTTTTCCTGTTCACTAAAAAATACTTACCTACGGTGATTAACATATATAAAAATTATAAATGCCTTATCGTGATGATTAACATATATACGGCTGAAGAAGACATGTTACTGTCGAAATGGTATACAAATTCGGCATGGCTTTGGTGAGTGGCCATCTGGGTGTGCAGGAATGGTTGTGACTGGTTGGATTCGAATATACCATCGGGCCGATAGCTCAGTTGGTAGAGCGATATATATATATATATATATATATATATATATATATATATATATATATATATATATATATATATATATATATATATTTATATATATATTTATATATATATATATATATTTATATATATATATATATATTTATATATATATTTATATATATATTTATATATATATTTATATATATATTTATATATATATTTATATATATATATATATATATATATATATATATATATATATATATATATATATATATATATATATATATATATATATATATATATATATATATATATATATATATATATATATATATAATATTATATATATTCACTTGGATTACAAACCCTAAGAACAGCATTCAAATATTAATACCACCAAGTGAAGTGCAAGAAACCAGATCATTGAAGTCCATCTATATTATTTTAAGCATCTGTCAACACTCCGTGCCGGCTTAAGATCACGTGACTGCCCAATTTTCATAACAATAATATATTCTCGCCCCAGGCCCCCCCTTTCCTATCCTTCCTTTCCTATGCTAAAATAAAGTCATCTCATCTCATCTCATCTCATCTTATCTTATCAACAATAGTTGCGTAATTAAAGTAGAAACAATATGCACAAAAAGGTATCTCGAAATACTTATTGCTTTCATTGCATTACAGTACATGCTAATGATAAGGCTTTATTTCTTAGGTTTGGCAGTTCTGTTCATCACTGTGAGCACATTATTAAAACAAGAAACACACATTTTATCAAAATGATTGTAATAATTAAAAGTAAAACCTTTCAGATTTTACCAAAATTTTACCAAAAACAACTCATTACCAAATTTTCTTGAAAATTCACGAAATTTTACCAAAAGTAAAACTTTTTACCAAATCTGGTCACATTGGGGCCCGCATGAGTAATAATAATATCAGATTACACGAAATGACATAGTTCACACTGTTTATAATTTAAATTTCTCTAATAATATAAACATACGATGTTGAACTTTGTAACGATTGTTTGTAGAAACTACAAGAAATAACCAAAACAGTTTTCCGCAGAAACTTCGTGATGTTCTATACGTCAAGCCTGCCGCACACGAGAGGAACTTGCTGAGCTAACCGCCTCGCGTGGCAGCTAGCTAAGCAAGTTTCTCACATGTGCAGATAGTTTTCGTGCGGATTTGACCTCTCGAAACTCTGGCTCCGGAAACGAAGGAAATGGAATGTGCAGCTCAGTTCATCAGACGCTTGTTAGAGTTGGAGCGATAAGAACGTCCACGAAGGAGACTAGGGGATTTATCGTACACAGTTAACTGTAACTACCGTTAATTACATATTTATTTCATTTGCCATATGTTAGAAGTGTCTTGAACATAGTCTAACACCACTTACAAATGTCATATCGTTTTGTTCTGGATCATTCGATGTAATATTTGCTCTTCCGATACTGCTCATCGAATTAACTCATTTCATGTTTGTGCCTAATATAAGTACATTTCAAATATTTCACAAAAGAAATTTCCCTATGATAATTCCAAAAATAAGTGCAACAAATAGGTACACAATAGGCGGGAACTGGTTCTCTGACTCTTCCGGTCGCAAGACTTGAAGTACTTCCTGTGGAGGTTCGGTGTTAGGTTTCATTCCTACTGCACGTAGTCTCACTTGATCCTGGAAAACAGACAACAATCAACTTAGTTAAATGCTGTGAACGGAACTGTGTTCTAGCCGCATTTTAACATTGCAGTAAATTAGACTAACAGGCCAAACGTTTTTTATATTATATGTCGCAGTCTATTGTGTGGTCTGATCTTTTGAAACAGTTCAATATTCAATCAGTTACTTCCAAAATATTGTCACTCTCGCTGAACGACCATAGTATTAAAACTCAGATATCCTAAGGATAGCGCAAAGTTTTAGGATCATGTGACACCATATTCCGATTAGCGTTTGATACGGCATAATATTTATCATAAATCTTTATGTTATCATAATATGATACCCTTCGTAGTTAATATATGAAACTTTATTAGCTCCAGGAAATTATCTCCTGGCAAAAAAGATAAACGATAAAGGTCGCAGATTCAAACCGCAAGTAAACGTGATGTGTATGGCGTAAACTTCAGGTCCTGACATCGCGTTGCGTTTGCTAAATTACCCTGTATAATTAAGATAAAAAAATTTAAATGTAAAGAGGAGAAAATTAATTTGAATACGGAACTGACTTTGAATAGAGAATGACAAAAGTTTGTTCGTTCACAGCAACTCGAGGTATATTAATCATGTTTTCGCTCGTTACTCTGGTTTTTGTTGCATACCCATATATGGGCATGCAACTTTCATATAGCTCTAAATTTCGTGTCGCGTTGAGCGTTGTACTGGCGGTGGTATATCACGTGACAGATTCGTAAAATAAGACAAATACCGAGTTTTTCCGACGAGCATTCTCGTGTGATGTGAACAATTTAATATGCACGCTTTTGTTCACGGCTTTCGTCGAGGAAACGCAAAGAAAATATTGATTTTTCGCCGAAAATTTACGTAATTTAGCGCCTTAGATAAATAGATCGAGGTAGGTAAAGCTTTGCTGTTTTTAAGTTGCCTTATATTCTGTTATTTGTTATTATTTTGGTGCCGTTGTGCTCGCACTGCATGGTTATTTATCAATTATCAGGCGTTTAATACTAACGGCTTATTGACCTCGCTTGTTCGGTCTGTACTGAGAAATATCAGACCTCTGTTTTTTAGTATGGACCAAGCGACGAAGGAGCGAGGTCCATGCAAAAAACAGAGGTCTGATATTTCACAGTACAGACCGAACAAGCGAGGTCAATAATCGGTTTATTATTTTGGTCAGTCTAAACGCCAGTTTGGTACACGGCTAAAAGAATAGAACATCAAAAGGCTGTTTCAACTTTAAACAAGGGGAAATCAGCTTTAGCAGAACATGCGTGTGGCATCAAACACAAGTTGCGTGGGAAAATTCTAAAGTAATTACCACAAAGAATCTGTATGGTCAAAGACGATGTCTAGTAGCGTGGCATATAAATATGAGTAGTCATGCTTTGAATAGGGATGACGGTGCCTATTTGCCAGAGGAATACATGCATCTCATTGGCAGATGACGTCATCCCTTGGGGGTATTTGAGAATCCACATTGCAACTTTAGATCATCCCTGAAGAAAACACTAGACTGGGGTGTCGAAACGTTGGGTCTTGATTACAATTCGACTGGGTTTTGTATTCATTTATGTATAAACCAGAGTAGCGAGCGAAAACATGACTTTAATTTATTAAAACCATGGGAGCTGCTTCCGAGTGGTGAAACTTCTAAGTCGCCAACCATGCAGTGCCTATCGAATGTATTGAAAGTAAGAAATGATGAAAACTGCCAGGTGTGTGCTGCTGGGACCTGCACGTTGATGACTTGTTGTCGAAGGCCGGAAGTCAAATGTATAAGAGTATAATAATAATAACTTTATTAAAGTGTCAAAAAATGATAGCAGTATAAAAAGTAATAAAAATAAAAATAAAAAGTAAGGACACTATTTACATAAATAAATAACTAATTTCTAAGTAGGTAAATTCCTACAGATAAAATATTTACTACTGTGTACTATGTAGGATGCCCATTAGCAATACGTCTTGTAACATTAGTTAAATAGGAACTATTGCATCATGCAGTTGTGACAGTTACCATAGTAACGAGAAAGGACAGACAAACAGATTTTCAAGATGGCGATAAATCAACCACGTTGTTATTAATGTTCACATTGTTTTACGAAATAAATTGTGCTTTCTACTGTTTTAATACGTGAATTATGGGATAGATCGAGAATTTAGTGAGCGGGCAACAAATTGGAGGTCCCACCCAGACTTTTATACATAAAAGAAGCTGTGAATGCGAAGGAAAAAGTATGATTTTTACGCTTTTCTAAATTCTTGATTTTCGTATTTTGATCTTTGCTTTTGGTGATTTGCTGGCGATTATGGCTGAAGAACTACAAGTAGAGATGCAAACAACGGTTTGCCAAGCACCCGAAGAAACGCTCCAGGCTATGGCAAAGGATTTTAAACTTGATATTTCCGAACACAGGAAAAGTACAATTGTTTGCATGATTTTTAACCACACTGATAAAGAATTGATGGACAAAAACGAGGAACAACGAATGTTATTCTTGACAGAATTTCGCTCACGTTACTTTATGAGCACAGAACCAAAAGAAAAAGATGTTTCAGAATCAGTACCCCCTGTAAAACAAAACGCAGGACAAAGTCAAAGCACATTACAAGGTATGTTAGAATCTACAAGTGTATTTCGTCGACAATTTAAGATTGTGGGACAAATTGGACAGCCAAATGAGAAAGACAAGTTGAGTTTCACATCCCTGACAAGACAAATAGACACTGGGGTTAAACAGGGGTACACAGAACAGGAAATTGTGGACGGTGTTATTCGTACAATTAATGGTGGAATGGTTCTTCGAAGTTATGTAGAAACTTACAAGGATCTATCTCTAGAGCGGTTACGAAAAATTCTTCGAAACCATTATGATGTAAAAAGTGCAACTGAGCTATATCAAAGTTTTGCATCAATATGTCAAGGGTCAAAGGAAACACCACAAGAATTCCTTATGCGTGCCTTGGATTTACGCCAGAAATCCTGTTTTCAAGCACTCAAGATCAAAGTGAGGACACTTTGGTTTATGAAAATGATCATATTCAAAAGCTGTTTCTACGTACTGTTGAAACTGGCCTTCAAGATGAAAATGTTAGAGTAAGGGTTAGGGGGTACCTCAGAAACCCCACAATATCAGATGAGGAGCTTATTTTGCAAGTAAATAATGCAGTGTCGACAGAGAATGAACGGGTAAGAAAACTAAGAAATCAGAACCGCCCAAAGCCTGCCCAGGTTTCCCAGGTAGCAGAGAAAGCTGAGTCCCAAGATAAAATTCTAAAGACTCTGGAATCACTAAAAGTTGAAGTGGCACAAGTTAAGAGTCAGTTGAAGGATATCAACCAAGAAACTGAACAAGCTCGATTACCAAATTCGCCTGCGCCAGTAGACACTAGAAACCAGAGAAGAAATACGCCGCCAAAATGCTTGCAGTGCCAAACTAGTGGAAATGACAAATGCTCTCATTGTTTCATTTGTGGAAGTGACAATCATTTTGCAATTGGATGTCGACAGAATCGTGGAAAGAATGCTTTAAACTCCAGGAGGCTGCCTCTCCGGGGCCAGAAGTAGCCGAAAGAAGTTTGCGGTCCCAAAGACGTAGTTATTGTGGCAAGGACGATGATCAAATGACATTGTACTGTTGTGCACAATGCAAATGTATAATTAATTGTTCAAGAAATTGCCAGAAAAGACACTGGAATGATCATAGGAACAATTGTAAAACTCTTCGGGACCTGACATGGACATGTCAAAACAAAACACGCAGCAATAATAAGACATTTACCAGTCACCTAACTCCTAGTGAGCATGCAAAGATTGCTAAGCTAGTAGGTAGACGGTGCACTGTAAAGTGTTCTCTAAATGAATTTGAGTCAACAGTATTATGGGATACGGGTGCACAAGTATCTATCGTGTCCAAAGAAATGATGGAAAAACACTTTCCTAAAAATGTTATAAAGAACATTTCAGAACTTATTAATGGTGAATTGGATTTAACAGCAGCTAATGGTACACGAATTGCGTATAGTGGTTGGACTGAGATAGAAGTTAGATTGATTTCATCAAAAGAAAAGGATCCATCAGTTATGGTTCCTTTCTTAGTAACAAACGACAGTTTAGAATATCCCATTCTTGGATACAATGTTATTGAAGAACTAATCAAGCCGATGAATACATCTGATATTCAGTCAGCACATATTGCTACAGTACAAGCTAGTTTTCAAGGTTTTGATGAGAAAGTGTTACTCGAATTGGTTAGACTGATACAGACAGCAAGAGCAAATGAACTATGCACGATTAAGAGCCCAAAGAAAGACTTTGTTATTCCGTCTGTCGAGCGAATACTGGACCGGTAGAAGAAACTACACTTGTTTTGTTTGAACCGGACGAATTAACGCCCTGGCCAGACGGTTTATCGGTGCACGAAACGGTAACAACAGTGAAACAAGGCTCAACGTCTCAAGTAAAGATTGATGCGACTAATACAACTAATCATGACATTGTCGTGCGTAAACACACAGTATTAGGAAGTCTTCAGTTAATTAAATCGATTACACCTGTAGAAGTGAAGTTGGCAGAAAAGTCAAGCAGAGAACAAGAACGAACAGAAACAGCCACACAATCCCAAGTGAATGCAATGGCGAAAGAAACTCGAGAACGAGACAATACAAATGATGACCAGTTTTTACCTGAAGTTGACCTTAGTGGATTAACAGAACGTCAACGTCAAGTGGTTACTAACATGTTGAAGGAAGAATGTCACTCTTTTGCAAGAAATGATGAGGATATCGGTTATATCAAAGATCTAGAACTAGAAATAAATTTGACAACAAACGAGCCAGTGCAAAAGAACTATGTATCGGTACCAAGACCTCTCTACCCCGAAGTAAAACAGTACATTGAAGATTTGTTAAATAACGAGTTTATAAGAGAGTCAAAATCAGCTTATTCATCCCCAGTAGTATGTATTCGCAAAAAGGATGGAACTCTGCGACTTTGTGTCGATTATAGAGAACTTAACCGTAAGACAGTGCCAGATAGGCATCCTATTCCGCGCGTCCAAGAAACTCTCGATAGTTTAGGTGGTAACGCTTGGTTTAGTGTATTGCATCAGGGTAAGGCGTATCATCAAGGATTTGTGAAACCATCCTGCCGACCGTTAACAGCATTTGTGACACCCTGGGGGTTATATGAATGGGTAAGAATTCCATTCGGTCTTATGAACGCCCCAGCAAGTTTTCAGAGGTTCATGGAACAGTGCTTAGGAGAATTACGTGATGAAATTGCCATTCCTTATTTGGATGATGTGATTGTATTTAGTAGAACATTCGACGAACATGTCGAACACTTACGAACAGTTTTACGTCGCCTAAGAGAACACGGTGTCAAATTAAAGCAAAGAAAATGTAAATTGTTCAAACGTGAAGTCACATTCTTCGGTCGAGTAGTGTCGAAAGATGGCTACAGAATGGATCCCGAGAACATTAACGCAGTTGCGAGTCTAAAGAACAATACTCCTCATACAATAGGAGATCTGCAAAAAATGCTTGGATTACTCAGTTACTATCGTCGTTATGTACCCAATTTCGCGCGAAAGGCTAAACCATTATACGACCTTGTTACACAAGCAGCAATAACAGACCCGTGTCATGATCAAGAGAAAGGTAACAAAAACACCAGAAAGAAAGGTCAAGTGCCATCATCATTCAAAATCGCGTGGACTGAGATACATCAGACTGTGTTAGAGAAACTCATTGATCATCTTATAACACCTCCGGTTATGGCATATCCAGATTATCAAAAACCCTACATCGTGCACACTGATGCCTCGAAAGACGGTCTAGGTGCTGTCTTATACCAGGAACAGGAAGAGACAATGCGAGTCATTGCGTACGTCTCTCGGAGTCTGACGAATGCAGAAAAGAACTATCACCTCCACGCAGGAAAATTAGAATTTCTGGCACTCAAATGGGCAATCACCGACCACTTCCGTGATTATTTATATTACGCGCCTGAATTTACGGTTTATACCGATAACAATCCATTAACATACGTTTTAACATCTGTACGACTTAATGCCACAGGCTTAAGATGGATTGGAGAACTGGCCGACTTTAAGTTCAACATCCGTTATCGTCCAGGAAAACTCAATGGAGACGCCGATGCATTGTCCAGAATGCCTATGAATATTGACGATTATATGAAAACATGCAGTGAAGAGGTTAATCGCGACGCTTTCCAAGCGACTGTTTGTGGAGCAAGATTACTCGAGCGGATGTTAGTTTAAGCATCTATAAATTTGAAGACAGCACAGAATGACGACGCAGATATTGACCGCGTCCATAACACTTAAAATACCGAACACGTATTTGTCTCCTCATGAAAGAAAGCAGGAAAGCCACACTGTACAGCAGCTGTTAAGAGAATGGAATAAGTTAAAAGTGGGGACTGATGGAGTTCTATACCGACTAGCAGGAACAGTCCGTCAAGTTGTACTACCTAGACGTCTACGTCAACGAGTTTATAAAGAGTTGCATGAAGAGATGGGTCATTTGGGTTCTGAACGCGTCATTGACTTGGCTCGAGAACGATTTTTTTGGCCTCACATGAAACAAGATATAACTCACTACGTCACGAAAGTCTGTCATTGCTTAAAGAGTCGGAAACCCGTAGGAAACCAACGTGAACCATTACATCCAATCGTACCCACCGCACCCTTCCAAATGGTCTCTATCGACTACCTTCACCTCGAAACAAGCGTAGGAGGCTATCAATACATCCTGGTTGTTATGGACCACTTTACGATGTATGCTCAAGCTTACGCGACTCGTGACAAATCAGCCAAGACCGCTGCAGACAAACTCTATAACGACTTTATCTTGCGCTATGGCTTCCCTGAGAGGATACACCACGACCAAGGGGCTGAGTTCGAGAATAAACTTTTCCTTAACCTGGAAAAAGTAAGCGGAATTAAACACTCTCGGACAACCCCTTATCACCCCGAAGGTAATGGGCAAGTTGAACGATTTAATAGAACGCTCTTGTCAATGCTTCGGTCCTTGCCAGAAAAATACAAAAGTCGTTGGCGTGATCATCTCCAGAAAGTCGTACATGCATTCAATTGTACCAGAAATGACGCGACAGGATACTCCCCATTCCTCCTACTCTTTGGCAGACCCCCGCGATTGCCAATTGACCTTATGTACGGTCTGAAACCCCCACCTGGCCATAGCACTTATCCTGAATATGTCAAGAAATGGCGAGAATCGATGTCCGAAGCATACCAACTTGCATCTGAAAAGGCAGAAAAGAACGCTACGAGTGGGAAAGTGCAATATGACAAGAAAGCTAAGAGTACGAGTCTACAACCCGGTGATCGTGTGTTAATACGAAATGTGAAAGAAAGGGGTGGTCCCGGCAAGTTACGGTCGTATTGGGAAGACAAAGTTTACAAAATCGTGCGTCAGAAATCAAATGAGATTCCCGTGTATGAAGTCATTCCTGAGAGTGGCGGGGAGAAGACAAGAGTACTGCATAGAAACATGCTATTCCCATGTACGTATCTTCCTGTGGAGAATCCTATTGTGAAACCAGCTCAGTTAAAAAAGAAAAAGAAGAGTGAGAAGGAGAAACAGGTCACACAAGATTATCTGACAGATAGTGAAGACGAGTTCGAGATTGCTACGTTTGCACCTGAATTAACGCGGACAGACCCAGAGGATGAATTCGTGCCAGTGTCGGTTGAAAATGAAGCCCAGCGTAGTGTTGAGGAAGCTGTACAAGAAGGTGCCACACCAGACGAACCAGCTCAAGAGAGTCAAGCGGCGACTGGTACCACGGTAGCAGCGGAGGCTGAGACACAAGTTGATTCACACCCAGTTAGTTCACGAGTACGACGACCACCAACCAGACTGGGATATGGCAATCTGGGCCAACCAACGGAACATTGGACCAGTATTAACGCGGTCCATGCACCTGCCACAAACAACATGTATCTACACCAATACCCTGTGCTCCCGACACCTCCAATACCGTTCTTTCCTCCAATACTTCCTATGTCATTACCTGTATTTCCATTATATTGGTCAAGTTGGCAAGGACCAATTATGCCATCAAACATATGGTGTTAGACACTGATATCAAGAGTCACGAAATCAGAAAACGAAAATTGTTGAAATTGCCATCATGTTGCGAATAATGACTGTTAGAAAACAGAAACAATAAAACTTTACAAGAGTTAAATTTGCAGGAAAAGTTCCTGACCAACAAGAAGTGAAAGCGGGGCCCGAAAAGATAAAGAAACACTTAGTTTAGATTCATGTCTAGGTTCAATATTTGTGAGTCTGATCAACCCACACAGTTGACCAAGAAGTAGCCAAGATGAGTACAGACTATAGCGTTAAATGTTGGGCTATATAATAGATAATAAGGACAGCTTAAATTATAGGAGGGGTGAGTGTAGGATGCCCATTAGCAATACGTCATGTAACATTAGTTAAATAGGAACTATTGCATCATGCAGTTGTGACAGTTACCATAGTAACGAGAAAGGACAGACAAACAGATTTTCAAGATGGCGATAAATCAACCACGTTGTTATTAATGTTCACATTGTTTTACGAAATAAATTGTGCTTTCTACTGTTTTAATACGTGAATTATGGGATAGATCGAGAATTTAGTGAGCGGGCAACAACTACATACTGAGCAGTTCCTACACTCATCACTAGCCATTAATGCCTCTAAATCTAATTTTCTAATTTCTCTTTTAAATAATTTTAATGACTGAATAGTTCTTATGTTTGCTGGTAGCTTAGACCATAGCAGTGGCCCAAAATATCTAAGAGAATGTTTACCGTTGTTCACTGTATTAAATCTAGGGATACAAAATTCCTTTACTCTTAGGTTATATACTGTTGATTTTCTAGAAAACATGTCTTCCATGTAATTTGGGCAGATCTTAGATTTGACCTTATACATGATGGTCGCAATATCTTGCAGTCTTCTACTTAATAAGGTGGGTAGCTTAGCCCATTCTAATAACTGCTGATACCAACTGTTTCAGTCACAATATATTATTGCCAGTAAGGCTCTTTCCTGGACGCGTTCCCCAGTTCCCCTACAATGCCAAATCATAGTACAATACGTTTAGTACGGTAGGATCGCTGCTTTATATAATTGGAGTTTCGCTGCCTTAAGAATCATGTTCCGTAGTCTCATGATTACTTCTACTCTCTCTGTGGCTAGATTTTTTGCAGACTTCACTTATATGATCCCTAAAAATTAATTGGCAGTCAATGTTTACTCCCAGTAATTTAATACTTTTGTAGGGAGTAACTGTGTTGCCTTGGATATCAATGTTCATATTGAGGTCTTTTTTCTTGCTGATTAACATGCTATTAGTGTCATTAGTGAGTTTGGCAACCAACGAAGGCGACGGCAGAAAACATACATTACTAAACTTTTAAAAGCACTTGTCTTTCTTTCAAACAACCCTGAAATTCCCTGAAGTAGCAATAGTAAGTGAATTCACATAAACACCAGCTACGACTTGAGTTTGAACTGAACTACAGCGTACTACAGGGTGTATAAAAAAAAACGCAACCTCGGAATTTCCCAAGAAATCGACATTGTTTTGAAGACAAAAGATTTTAGGCGCCTGGGAATTTAAAATAGCGCAACTGTCAAAATTACTGCACACGCGAGTGCATAAAGCAAAATTTATGCATTTATTTAATGCACAACAACAGTAATATGATCTATTAGCAATTCGATTTCAATTCCCAGGGGCCTAAAATCTTTTATGCTTACGAATTGCGAAGTGATTTCTTAGGAAATTCCGAGGTTGCGTTTTTTTTATACACCATGTACTGTAGAATGCTCAAGAATGCAAATTATAGTCGCCTTTGTCTCAGAGTAAAGATGCTATTGTTGATATACGAACGTTGCCGTTGTATTTGCCAAACTCTCTTATACAGCAAAAACATCGTTTCCGTCTAGAATATTGTTAAGAGCTTTTGACTGCCCATCCTTTAACTTTAAACAAAAATTTAGTTTTCTATACAACTCGTCTAATACATTTTTTATCGCTATAGAACGATATTTTTCGATTTTCGCACTTTGTGTTGACACCTTGAATGTATTGTTGTGTAAATTTCATTACCTTTTATGGCAATATAATGCAGTTAATAAGCAACTACTCAATTTCAACCAATGATAACCCTGCATCATTCTAAGCAACGCACAGACGTGTTTTTATTACCTAGGCCTGCAGGCTCTCTCTTAAATTTCAAAGAGAATTCAAAGAGAGCCTGTTCGCAGGCTACCGCATACATACAAATGCTTGACTTCATAACGTAGTCACGTCATTCTGAAATAAATTCCACAGCATAGGCCCAAACGCTGACCCTTGAGGGCAGGCGCCTCTTCACCCGTTTCCATGTGCTCGTTGTGCTTTCCAACTTCACTGTACTGTAGCGATGCATAAAATACGAAGTCATAAGTTTAAGACTCTGTTCGTCAAAGTTGCAAGGTTTCAATTTCGCTAACAGGAGTGGTGGAAGCATACTATCAAAGGCTTTGCTCATATCTGTCGACAGCAAACCGACGCACTCTCCATTATCCAAAGTCTGTCTCCAGCTCTCTGTTAAAAACAAGAGCGCAGTCTCGCAGCTATGACGTTTCCTGTAAGCTGTAAGATATTTACTCAATCGACTATCAAAACTTTCAGTTATTTGTTTAGTAACTACTTTTTCAAAAATTTTATTAATGGCGATTTGAACAGTCACCAGCCGATAATTTTCTCTTTCAAGTTTATCATCTTTCGTGTGGACTGGAGTCCACTCGCGTTCCTTCCAGTCATTCGGCCAGAGTCCTTGTTCAATACAAATATTATACAAATTCGTTAATGGTAATGCTATTTCTGTTGCCCCCAACTTCAATGCCTTACGTGGTAATTGGTCCCATCCTGTAGCTTTGCGCGGATTTAGCCCCTTTAATGCTTCTTTCACGTCCCTTGTTTCTATCTTAAGGAATTTAAGGAATTGATTGTCCGTAGGATTGGAATCTGTAATGGCTGTCACACTACTGTGATCATCAAAATCATCTAAGGAGTTCTTATTTGCATCAACTTGGCCAATACCATCAGCTATTGTTGCAAAATACTCTCCAAAGATCTCTGCAATCTCCCCCTACTATATAACTTGGCCATTGATATTGAGCTCGATTTCGACCCCCAAAAGGGTGTGAACGTTTTATAGAAGTCTTGGGGGGTGATCTTTAGTTCCTTTGATTTTCTTTTCCAATAACCCTTAATTGCCTTCCGTCTGAGTCTTGTCGCGTCATTTCGTAACTTTCTTAGTAATTCCCAGTTCTCGAGTGAGATGGTTTTTCGGTACCGCTTAGCCGCCTTACGTCTTGCTCGCATTGCTTCCTTCCATTCTATGATCATGAAGGGGACATTCTGTTCCCTAACCAGCATCTGTTTACGTGGCATATGCGCATCAACAATTTTAGTCAAAAGAGTGCTCAAAAGCCAACTTGATCTTCCACATCATCAAAAACTGCTCCAACATGCCAAAGTGCGCATCTCACATGATTCTTGAAATCATCCTCATTTAGATTCTCAGTTGAACGAAATTTAATAACTCTAGCTTTGCACTTGGGTACCTTCTCATGCACGAATCCATACACCAGTGGGTGGTCACTAAGCCCTGGGTCATAAACTCCACTATGAATAAACAAATTTGGTTGGTTTGTCAGAATGACATCTCTTGTCTGTATCCTTGTTGGTTGTGTTATCAAACATTCGAATCCATGAGTCTCCTCTTTGTCAATCAATAACTTGCCCTCAGCTCTGTCCGGCCGGAGTCTATCGAGGTTCAAATCGCCCAACATTACAACTGCCTGTCTCTGTAATGAAACCCAGTTACACAAATGATTGATCTCCTCCTCAAACTGTTGCTGATAGTTGCTTACAAGAGGTTTTTGGGGTCGGTACAGACCCGCCACGACAACACTACCTTTTTTCAGCTGAATTTCCAACACCAGGGATTCAATCGACTTGTAGCATCGAGGAACTTTAACCCGCTTACAGATTACCCTTGAGGATACGTAGACTAGAATTCCACCCCCTCCTTTATTCCTATCACAGCGATATATCATATATCCAGGTATAGCAAATTGACTGTCTGGATAAGAGGAGCCGATTTCCGTTTCACTGATTATCATCACTTGTATTCTCAATTTTAGTACACTTTCCTTCATTTCCTCAAATTTATTTTGGTAGCTGTTTATGTTCAAATGGCCTATGAGGAATTCTGAACTGTGGTCAGTTCGAAGATTGGGGAGACTGGTAAAATCCCTCTTATCAGTTTCACTAGTAACATTTTCCCCCACCTGGTCCTCAACTGCGTTTGATGCATGCCACTGATTTGAAATAAGACTGGATAACGCATCTATAGTATACAAAAGTGAAGCCGGAAGTCACCGGCCGCCACCCGATTCTGGGGCCCCACTTTTGAATAGATTTGTATTACAGACGGTAGTTTTTCGCGTTTTTTTGCCTTGGCTACGTTTCCGACCGGGCCAATTTTACAATCACAAAGATAGAAGCATACAAGAAAAATTTTGAGCAAAAAATTTGGAGTATTATGGCTTTATAACGCCACGAAACGGGATTTACAACTCTGAAGGAGTGGAGAGCCTCAGACTTTGTTTATCAACACGAGCTCGTTTTGCTACTTTCATACAAAATCAACTCAAAATATAAAGGAATTACTGTTACTGGACGAATATTCTCAGGAAATTTGAGGAAATGAAGCAGCTACATTGTGAACAAAAGCGTACTGAGGTTTAAATAGTTTTCAAAAACTCATTGATAATTCTCATTATCCAATCTTGAGTAAGAAATTAGTCACGTGCATACGTCTTTATACCAGCTAAAGAACACTTTAACAAAAGACCATTGTTATGCAAACTATATAAAGATTTTTATATAAAGATTTTTATATAAAGGTTTTTATATAAAGATTTGACTTATTATGCATACGTTTTTGAAGTCATTTAAAAAACTCGCGGGTCGTGTTTTATTAGGTCTAAAGCCACTCGCGCTGCGCGCTCGTGGCTTTAAACCTAATAAAACACTCCTGCTCGTTTTTTAAATAGTACTTAAAATACCTTGAGGCTACTTTTATAATATTTATATGAATTTATAAGGAACAGTTTTAAATATCAATTTTGTCAAGAGCATTCCTCGGCGCCTTGTCGAGAAGTGTAAATTTGCTTCTATCTTTGTGATTGTAAAATTGGCCCAGTCGGAAACGTAGCCAAGGCAAAAAACGCGAAAAACTACCGTCTGTAATGCAAATCTATACAAAAAAGGGGGCCCAGAATCGGGTGGCGGCCGGTGACTTCCGGCTTCACTTTTGTATACTATAGATGCGTTATACTGTCTTATTTCAGATCAGTGATGCATCCATGAACAAATGAATGAACTTCACTGAATGTCCAGGGTTAGGAGACACGTCTCCACTTATTGCTATACGAGTTAATTGAAATGTGGAAGTTGAATTCGGGTATCGCTTCACCCGGGCAGCAAGATATTTCACGCCATGTGACTCAAGTCGTCCATCGCTACTTTGACCATAAACTATTTTAATTCACCCAAAAAGGGCTTGTTTCTTTCCAGATATATATGTCTGAGGCAATACCGTTCAATTATGCAGTACAGGCAGATACATTTTGGAGTCTTTGTCCAAGTAATATACGAAATAAAACGAAAAACATCGGAGCTCGAAAATCAGCCACCATCTTGGAAGCTGTGCTTCCACTTATCTATGTAGAAGGTACGGGCACAGAATAAAGATCAGTAACAGAAGGGCCACTCAGCGGTGCAACGTGTCCGCGTTTTTTTATGCAAAAATATGCAGTTTACTGGCCAGAAGGCGGAGCAGCCAGCCAGTACAGCGTGTTTATTGGCCAGAAAATGTCATTGACTGGCTAGGAAAATGGCGGCCAACATGCGTAATGCGACATGCGCGAGGACAGAAACTTCAAAGCTTCCGACGTAAGTGGCCCTTCTATAAGGATCTTTATTCTATGGTATGGGTTTCTCTCCTCCGCCGAGGTTTCCGACATTAACTATCATGTGTTTCTAACTATTATGTGTTCCTAACATGAAGTTGTAAAGGGTTTATTTATTTTATTTATTTAGCTTTGCGAACTAGGGCAGGGTTACCAGTTACCACAACAGCATATGCCAATTTCTGTGGGCCCTTTTACCGAACCCACCCTGTCAACTTTCCCAGTGAGAGGAAACCAGGAGAAAACCCACGACGTTCGGCAGAGCGTTGACTTTTACTCTTCTCACATGAGGACTGGGTTCGAGTCGCGTCGAGAAAGTTCTCCCTGAGACTTGAACCTGCGACCTTAGAGGTTAAAGGCAAGTGTGTTGACCACTTCGCCACCGAAGGGCAGAGTGGGGAACGTCCGGTGATTATAAGGAAGAAAAGAGAGGAACGTGGGCGCAAAGTAAAATGAAATCTCGAAAACGTTCTCGTTTCGCACATGCCTGTCAAAACAGGATATCCTAGGTATTGGTGTATCCTAGGTAAGTGTCTGAAGCTAACTGCAATCCTTGTCTGAACTCTGAAGTTTTATGCATACTAACTAAAAAAATACTTAAAATTTTCCACAAACTAATTGCAATATTTGCATTTTCTGGATTTCTATTCTTTGAATATGATTTATTATTTCACAATTTACACTAAGTATTACTAAGAACATTGCATGTGAAACGCTGGCCAGTCGAGCCCGCATATTTTTCGTGCGCTAGACAATGACATTTAAGAATTTCAAAAATTTTAATAAGTTGAATTATTCATCTTATTATTATTAATTACTATTAATTATTATTCTTATTAAAACAATAAAAGTGTAAAACTAAAAACATAATCTAACAAACGACAAACGTTGTATGTTTCGAGTATTTTCCTGTTCTGTGGCCGAATTTTATTTTTCAGCGGACAACTTTGTTGGCTTCATATATCAAAATATTCAACCAATGGGGTAATGCCAATTGGTTTAATGGTTTCACCAAATTAGGCAGCACTCAATTTTGATAATATAAAACAGTCACAGGATTTGACTCGCTTGAGGGCTATTGGGCTAACTGCAAAATGTTTTTGGCTACCTACAAAAAAAACTAAATATACAGGCATGGTTTCGCACCTGCATTCCTCTCTCAACGACTCAGCGGAGTTTTTCTTTATATTAACTTTTTAAAGTCTGCGGAGGAGAGAGGTTACGGATATTGACCCATTTATATTATCGTTACTTTTATACGGTATTAAATTTAGGGCGCATTGACAAGTTATGTACTGAAAGAGTTGAAATGAGAGACATAATTCCCGATGGAATTTTAGATAATCCTGAACATATTTTATATGAACTATTGCCCGAAAAAAGAAAACGCGATCATCCTTTCATCCTACGTAAAGTCAGAAGTGAAAGATTTTTAAATATAAAAGCGTTCTTTTGTAAATAGTGTACTAAAACTGTCTGTACCAGTGTGGGTAGTACCAATGTGAAAATGCTGTGCTGAGTGGTTATATTACTACCTTAAAAAATAAGCAGAAACTTTTTAAAAGCCGTTTATCGGCAAAAACTAAACGCGTTTCAGATTAAATTTTACATTAAATCACGAGATTTAGGACCAATCCAATTTGACAACAATATATTCTAAATAGTAGTTAAAATAAAGCGTAAGGCACCTGAACTGTTCAATTTCTTGCGTGACAGTATTTCTAAATCCATAAATACATTTACATACTATGCAAACACGGTATATTATCAAAATCCGCACATAGAACCTAAGCACAGCAAGCTTTGGGGTTTACGGCGACCTCACGCCCGTGATTTCCACTAATAATAGGAGGGAAGGATCAAAGTGGGCGTTGTCACTCGCTAACCAAATCAGCTGTCTGGATTCTCTACCACGTGACCTGTCCAAATCACAACCACGTGACCTGTCCAAATCAGTATGACATCAGAGCAGCCTCGATAAAATATTCGGGGGACACGTTTGTGCCATATAAGGAAGTTGGGGACACGCTTGTGCCATATATGGAGGCATGGTTCCCTCTCGCTTCGAATGATGAAATAATTGGGTTACGGGGTCATTTAATCACTAATCTCCCTCAAGCCATGCTATTACTTATAATAAGCAACTCAAATGAAAAATTTAAGACAACGAAGTCGTACGTTACATTTAGTAACAATTTCTTATAATTATGGATTCATCAAATGTATAAATTAAAATTCTTTATGTAAATGAAAAAATACCTTCAACTTTTCATTTTCTCCTTTTAATCTCAAAAATTCTGCTTTTGTGTTCTCGTCATCTGTCTAAAAAGGGACGATATACAGCTAAGTGAAAAAGAAGTATAGATTTCAGTTCTGAATTATATTATTAGCATGATAATTACTTACATTTGATAACGTTGGTTTTTCATAATCCTGCTGTCTCGTTATGGTACTTTGCGGAATATGTGATTGTGCTGTGACAGGATCACTACTTATAGTCATCTCTTTCTTCTCAGTTGTTTTTTCAGCGGATGCAATCTTCATATTTAATCAAAATAAACAGGATGTCAAAATATATATAAAAAATCCCTAACAGCTAACCAATACACACAATGATTGCAAACACTTTGACGAAAGCACAAACCAAAAATAGACATTAAACCTAAGAAATATCTATGACATAAGTAAATTTCATTATATAATTGCTTCCATGTAAATTTCCAAGAATTGTGTTATCCGAAGAATTGACGGATAAGATATAACACCAGGAAAATTAGTTCGACTGCACGCATTTTGACTAATATCACGTCTTGTTTGATTTATCAATTATCCAGACCCGTTTGTGTGAGGAAACACCCGGAAAATGATAAACGCACATAAATTATTGTGGGATCAGGGTGAAGCGAATCAATTATAACATTAGACTTAAACTCTGCCAGCACATTATAGTTCACGGCGATAGGACATGTGATGATGCTCCGCCAATCAAGTATTTATTTATATGGTTGAAGAATATCATGGTAAGCCATGATATTCTTCAACCATATAAATAAATAAATACTTGATTGGCGGAGCATCAACACATGTCCTATCGCCGTGAACTATAATGTGCTGGTAATAATAAGTTATTAGCATGAAAAATTATTTGATGCTGATTGGTTGAGAGGAGTACACTGCAGTACAATTAGTGATTTTCCCAAAACAAACAAAATGGCGGAAAGGTATTTAACCACAAATGAAACTTGTGAGAGAGAGAGAGAGAGAGAGAGAGAGAGAGAGAGAGAGAGAGAGAGAGAGAGAGAGAGAGAG